GTGTTGTCCTTGGATTTTATGCATCCTGTTGGTGAGCATGTCTTTTAGACTGTTCTCTTTATGCTTTATCTGCCTTATTTCTATACACTTTTCATTGGACCATTTTCTTTTGAAGTTGTGCAATAACCCAGAACACATTTCTTTGTCTTGGTTTACTATTAGTCCTACTCCCCTTCCATTTTTCTCTCTGCTTGTATATATAACTCTGTTTGTCACTGACAAAAACTCCAATGTTTTTCTATTTCCTTTCACATATTTAAAATATTAACATTTAACCTCTTCATTTATTGCTTTATATTCTCTAAATGGCCACATTGATTTAGTGTTTTGACATTTCATGTCCCTAGAACTATTTTTTGTTTGCTGTGAACAGTCGCTTCATGACGGTCTGTTGATATCTGTCACTCATGTCTTCCCTTACTTGGCAAGAAATCAATTCTAGATAAACTAACCCCCGTTTACATCAAACGCCTGTGCATTTTTTTTTGTAAGAATTGAATAAAAAGTTTTGGTGTAATGATCTTTGCTTTTGAAATTAAACTAAGTTTAACTAACCTCTTTATTTTTGTTTTTAGTGAAAATATGATCATTGTTTATGTATAATCTATTTTTTAGCACAAACACTGACAACTTGTGTACATACAATGCCCACCCTTCCACTAACTGTACAAATCAGTCACCATGTTTTATTTGCTTCTTGTGTGCAGAGAATTTGGAGAAGACTTACGAGAGACAAGATGAAATCAATGTCATGGCAAAAAATGAAAGCACAAATCTTGTTCTTAAGAATTTGGTAATTATTTCACTGAGATATTTTCTTTGGTAGTCCCTTTGTCTCAGCTTACTTCCACTGAGCAACTGCTTGATGGATGGCTCCTCTCTCTTGATCAGGATTCTACTTATATAAGACTGCAGGCAGAAGCATCTGATTTCTAACCAAGTATTGTTTATTATTTTCTTCCTCTTTGCTCAAGTGGGTTGCCACTTTGTACATAAGACAAAAAAAAAAAATACCCAACATTTCCAACACCAATAACATCATTTAGGGCCCACTTGACCATATATTCAGCCAATTGTGTGTGTGTGTGGCTATTGTATCTGAAACTGATAAGAATTTCTGCTGAGAATTTCACTGAATGACTTAAATAAAAATTGAGATGTTTATTTTCATACAAGCATCTTAAAATTAATTTTCTTCTATGAAAAATAATTCAAAATTCACTCCTATAATAGGTGGAGGGTTAAATATGGGTTGTTGAAGAATACCTAACTTCCTACTAATGCAGAATATAGAAAAATGCAAAATTATGGACAAAAATCTTTTGACTTAAAGATACCCCCCCCCTCCAAAGTTATAATTTTGAAAATTGTGTCTGAAGTAATTTTAATTAACTTTTCATAAATCATTGTCAGAAATCCTGTTGACTTGAATCAATTTTGATGATTTGAATCAGTTATCTTTGAAAGTTCTAATCAGATTCAGAGATTTTTAATTATGGTACGAAAGTAGCCTTCTTTGTGTTGCCTTGGCTTCTTCACTGCAGTCTGCAAGGTATTTATTGTGCATTTTATGTTTATATCATGCATTTTCATAAAAATCATCAATATAATTAAAAAAAATTTAAAAGCAAATTTGTTTTTTTCTTCTTGAAATGAAACAAAATCAACTAAAATTGCTAGTCCAGCAATATTTGTTTCTTCTATTTGCATGCAAAATAAGTTCAGCTTTCATGTCATTGGCAATATTGTTGATTCTCCTTGATAGAGCTTCAACATTTTTCAAACTGTATCTCTAAGAATCTGCATCAGACATGCAAAACACAAGTTTTAATAAGTGTATGATATGCACTATACATGAGAGAGATCAAATGCAAGTATTTGCTCCTATTGTATTTTTGTTACCCATTTAAAATAGGAAATTTTCAAAATTATTATGACTTTCACTAATAGCAGCCTGTACCCATAGTATAGATATTCCTCTCTTGCTAAAACAGTCAATGGCATTGTGAAGTTTCTACTGATGATATAATAGTTATCTTTCCTATTAGAACAGTAACATAAATCTGTTAATTTTCAGTTTTTGACATATTTAGATGAGTATAGAGCATATCAAGCTCTTGTTATCTACTTTGCAATCAATTCTAACAGAAGAACAGTGTAACATTTCCAGATGATATCGACAATGTATAATGCCTATATCTGTGTATGAAAGTAATGTAATTGTCTCATTAAATAGGTTGGTCAATTTTTCCTAATTTGTCAGTAAAAGGACAATGTTAAACTATCTAATCCTTTAAAAATATCTTGAAAGCTTTTTGAGAACTTTCATTATAGATTAACAAAGGAAGCATCTGAATCTTATTCAATTGACTGGAGTTTATGAAAGATAAATTCTATGTTATTAGAGAAAATTGGAAGCAGTTGTGGATATCATGAACATTTATGAGACTTTTTTCTTAGCAACTCTGAATATGAAAATTGTCTGTCATTGCTGTGAGGTTTGGCATAATACAATCAGTACATTGCTATCATTTTCCTCTATTGGTGGATATTTCTGAAGGAGAAAAAAAAAACGACTGAAGAAAATTAATTTGTAAGTTGGTAGAACATAGCAACAAGAAAAAGAATAATGGCTTCCCAAAATTACAAAATTGAGTATAGTTTATTACTCTTGCATTGATTGCTTCATTCAATTCTATATCTAAGGTTTAATGAGAGAAGCAGAGCATAACCCCTTCCTCAGTGTAGATGTATATATACATTTTTACTGAAAATGTCCTTTTCAGACATGGATGAATAAACACATCCAAATACCAGCCCCAGATGTGTTTCTACATTGATCTTGATTTTTTTTAATGCTCTTCTGACCTTGAAACAAATCCAGTTGTCAACTCATACATCTGGTAGAGGTTTTAGCCAACACTTGGGTACTTGAAGGTACCTCAGTTTCTTAGTTACTATATTAAAAATGAATAAAAAAATCTGTATGAAAATGAAATGTTTTTCCCAAAATAATTGGTGAGGAAGGGGTTAACATCCTGTGCAATAGGTTTTCTAACATGAAAGTAGTTCTTTGGGTCTTAACTAATACAAGGATTAAGAATGACCACAGTGAACACTGGATGTGAAAGTGTGAGCTTTTATTAAACAAGCAACAAAACTGTCATCACAATTTTGGTGCTGCAAGACTCAGAAATATATTATATTAATAGACTCAGAAAGGCATAAGTGATAGGACAACATAAACCTTAAATCTACAGAAAAATTCATCAAAAGAACTCTTACATTTTTTAATTATAATTTTTCTAAATTATCTGGTGCCAAGTGAATTATATTTGAATGGTTTTAATCAACAATTTTACATCTAATATTTACTTTGCTTTGTACAATTATAGAGAATCTGAAACACTTTTTATTTATTGTGAAGACAGGGGATTTTCTTTTAAGTTCAAAAACACTAATATTAAATATAATAGAAAAAGAATTTCACGGGCTTTATTGATTTTTTAATTCAAGCTTACATAACAAAACAATGATTGCAAGAAAATGTCAATGTTCCCAAAACCAATCTTCCAGAAAATTCTGTCGAACTTTTTCAAAATTGGGTCTTCATCCAAGATAAATGTAAAACAGCAATTAAAACCTGTTACTAATTCTTAAATAGTATCATTTTTTAGAGACTTGTTTTGTATAGACTATGTTTAAAAAAGATTTTTTTAATTTAACAAGTCAACAAAGCTTCATGATTAAATTATCAAATATTATTTAAGCCTTGGCAATCAGATTTGAATTTCAGGTCATAAGTATTTTTTCCTCTTGAATTTTTAATATTATTAAATCAAGGAATTCTTCATAAAGCTGAAGATTTTCAAGTTCATCACAGAAATGTATCTTTACAGATAATAATAACATGATCCTTAGTTAACATGAAAGTAATTAGAACAACCCTAACAAAAATACTGTTGATGAAACTGTTTGCTATTAATTAAGGGTAGAAACAAGTGCCACCGATGGATGGAAACTTGGAGGTGGAAAATTCTTTCAAATTGTACACAGAGATTTAATATAAAACAAAATGGTTGAACATAATGAGCATGAAAAATACAATGAATTAACTGGTTGTATTTTCTGCTTTTACTCTGAAAATTTAAGGTTTTTTTAATAATTGCAATGAGGCAAATAACTTACAGAATATTGTCATATATTTATTATTATTAATGCTGCACTCAGGTTTCTTGACCAGATTGAAACTTGACATCTCCATAACAATAAAGGCACAGTTCCATTTTATAGAGTGCAAATATGAGTGAAGAGTATCTTTCATGGGAAAAATAGTATGGATGAAGGAATCAACTAAAACAAATTTCTACAATCAATAGATTTTCTACAAGATGAGTGTTCCTGGGATACTAATATTGTCAAACTAACCCTTTGAGGTAAAGTTCATAATGTTTGCATCCTTGGATCTTCATACAGAAATCCTACTTTTCTCTATCAGTTCAGTTGATGACAAATGAAACAAGTAAACAGAAAGTAGTTTCTCTTTGATTGATGATGATAATTATGAAAATTTAAATCTTGTTAAGCATCTGTTTTGCTTGCCATGCATTGAGCAATTTCATGACTGATGACATTGACAAGTGGGGCATCAGACTGCACAACATGGGTAGAGTTGGCTTGCCTTTTACAATGATCCTTGACAATTCTTGTGGGTGGGGCATGTCATACCAAAGAGCAAAAGCAGACAGCTGACCATATGGTTCATCCTTCAGACATTCACCCTGGAAATATTTGAGCAAAATATGCATGTTATTCATTTCCCATTCACCAAGTACCTTTTCAAGTTCATTTTTCAATGACAACACATAGTCTAGTTCAATCAATGGAATCTTCTTGGCATCCTCATTTGCCTCAAATTGATACTTGCTCTGGTAATAATTCAGTACAATCTTCAGCTGCCAGAGACCTAGTGGAATGACATTTGTCTGTGACTGCCAAACCTCATAAGACAAACTAGTCTGTGTTGGGATTCCTTCTGGCTTTTCTTTAAATGCACAGTTATACACAACTGATGCAAGAGCATCACAACTGTTGTCTTCATTTTTGGAGAGGAAAAATTCAGAAAAGGCCAGTATTCGAGCATCTGATGTAAAAGATTTGATAGAATTTGGGTGGAGCTTTGTAGACTCAAAGCTGGACTCATTGTTGTTCAAAGACTTGGCTAGGTGACCATGGTAACCATTGGGATCCTCACTATATGACAAATGACCAGCCTTTTGCTTAACAAACACAATGCCACTGTTCTTTAAAAGAAGCTCCAATGTCTTCCAGTTCTTTTCCACATCAAAACGAATTGGCCAATAACGTGGACCTAAAATTCGGACCTCTTTCAACAGACTCAATTCCGGGATCAAGCATGGTGCCATGGTTTTATAGGAGATGTCTTTGTAGAATTTGGTGTCTTTGAATCTTATTTCAACAGGGACATAACATGGTTGGCGTGTGATGACATTTTCAGGGATCAGAACACGTGGTTCCACTGCCAGCACATAGAGGTGACGGAAGGCCTGCAGATGGTAGCGGTTGTCAATGCTGTGGGTTGGGAACTTTGGAAAGAAAGCACACAGCATGGCAGCTATGGCTTCAGGCTTTGTGCTTAGTGAATAGCGACCACCTCCAAGGAAGAGCAGCCCAATGGCCATGCTGACAGCCATGTGGGAGCCATAAGTGGCATATGAATGCTGGGGACCAACACGCTTTCTTAAAGCTCGACCAATGCGCAACACATCCAGGTCACCTGTTCCAGCCATGACCATAGCAAGTGAAAGAAGTACGACAACTGTACAGTTCTCAACAGTACTTTTTCCAGCTTGTTCACAGAAAGGAAGGACTGGCAGCAGATACATACAACGCTTCATGCAATCCAACAATGTTTGATAAGCCAATGCATTAGCTGTTCCAGCAAATTTCAATCCCATTGCCATGCATGCCCCAGCAACAATATTGCAATAGGCCTGACTCATTGTCTCATAATCAATGTTGTCCTCATCACGGCTATGAGTTTCTCTCTTAAAGCCATATTTCTGGACAATGGTTGGAAGGTTGCTATCAATCCAGGTAGTGGTTGGCAATACATGATCCCACATGACCAAACCATGTCCCAGAGTCCGCAGCATTAAAAAGTCTGGCCTGACATGGTCCAGTGTGAACTGTGTATCAGGTGCCTTGAGCCAATCTGCTACAGCTGTATTATTTGTATTGAAATAAAGCATCCCCAGGGCAAGAGTTGCTCCTGGAGAAGTGACATCCACATTCACACTGTCTCCTTCCTTGATTTGATAACTTGGAGACCTATACCGCTCACGGTTGGGACCTGTTATTGGTCGCTTATGACCTCCAATCATAAAATGACATAGGGTGTCAGCCATGCCTAAATCTGAAAGGCCTGCAGCTTCACTTCCTTTGCCAAACATAACCAATCCCAAAGCAAGTCCTGCAGCAGTAGCATAAGACTCCCTATTTGTACAATTTTCCATTTCAGGTCCAGGTGGACGACCAATCTCAGAGAGAAGCACTTCTGCAATGTGCCTGTGACTTGTACCTTGGTAGACAAGGCCAACTCCTAAGACAGCTGCCACCTGTACATTATGGGAGATATTCAGTTCTGTAGAGGTTGGTGGTAAGAGAGCTGGAACATGTATGCTGAGAACCTTGGTAATACCTTGATCCATTGTGCCTCGTTTGGTGGCAGCCAGCCCTAACAAAACTCCAATAGTAGTCATATCTTGACCCTTGCTTAAATATTCATGAATGTTCAGGGTAGCCAAATGAGCCAAATGACCATTCAGACCAAGGGCCATAAGAAAACCTGCATACTCAGTTGTGAAGTCACAAGTTTTGGGACGATTGTAGTTAATCCAAGTGGAATTGATCTGTGAAGAGTTGGCAATTCGTAAACCAGCAGCTACTCCATTGTGAAAATGTGGCCAAGTGGCCATATTTGAAGGAGTTTCAATATGAGAAAGGTCCACTGTTGTGTTACGTGGTGGGGCCTTCCCAGTTAGGCATAGTTTTGGGATGGGCAGTGCTTCTGTTGGGAGAGGGTGAAAAGTGCACAAAGTGAACATGCCACGTCCGACAGGTAGTGCCATTGTTCTTGTACAAATGGCATAGAGATAACGTTCTTGCTCTTCAATAAACTCATGATCACTGACTTCAGGTTTTTGTTGCAGAGAGATGCGCACCGGTTTTGATGACTGTAACATGTGCCGAACTTCCTGTACCCTTAGGTCTTCACTGAAACGTAATCGAAGCAGTTCTTCATCAAGATGACCCATTCCATCATCATCTTCTTTATTGGTTTTGTTCAGTGATGGGCATTCCTTTACATACCTGCCTTCATTAGTAAAGGATCCTGCATGGCATTTTGAATAAGCGCTTATTCGTGAGAGGTCCTTTCGCCCAATCAAGATGTAAGCTTCTTCAGGCCAATCAGATGGTGGGTCCCATCGACACTGTAAAATGGCTTCTCGTAAAGGTAGTGCAACACCAACTGGGAAGGACTCCAAATCTCGTTTAGAGATGTTTAGTTTTGTCATCAACAAAACAATATTTTCAGCAGTTGATAAACTATTTGTCTTGTCAATGTTCTCAGCAAATGCAGAGTTAATGGTATTGATTTTATATCCAATGGGAGGCAGTTTCTTAAGATACTTTGGTTCAAGTTGACAATTTTTATCTACAAGTTTTGCATAAAGGGCAACCACATTTTGTGTTCGCTTACAGATGTTAGGCATGTATGGAATTGGTTCACAGCTAAGACCTGAGAGAGTCTTGCAAATCCAGTGGAAGATATTTGGAGCAGTCTGTGTGAAAGCAACTGGAAATTGGAGCTTGGCCCACTGTTCTGGGTGGATCTGGCGGCCTTTATTGACTGAGCTGAAAAGGTGGGGGAAATCCCGACAGTAGTGGTCAGTGTAATGGTAGCATTTGAGGTCATTAGCCAAAAGGAAGAGCATCAATGACAAATGTTCAAGTTGACCAGAAAGACAGGAATTAAGCTTTAGTTCTTCATAGACTAAGTGCAAAACAAAGAGAATACTGGGAATGTAAGAAAAGAGAGGTGCTGATACATTGATGGTGCAGGGTTTTGAGTAGTACGTCTCAGAGACGTCTTCAACAGGAGGGAGACCAAGTGAAGAGTCAAAGTATTTTGTCATAAACTGGTGGTGATCAGAATTAGTCAAGTATTCCCAATCAGCTTCACGGCCTTGGTTTGATGGCTTTGCTCGTTTCACTTCCATAATAGGTGATGTAGTGTTATCAAGCTCATACTTATGGGTCAAAGGTAGACGACTTATGTCAAAGCCCATCAATCCAAGAAGAAATCTAGTAAACACTACCCATTCTGATTGGTTCTCTACTCCACTGGCCACATTACGAGTGGTGTACCAACGAGATAACATCTGCATCCCACAGTCCTTGGGTAAAATATAGCGCAGGGCCTGGAGACAAGTTTTAATACCAGGCAAAAGAGTAAGTGGTGGCAGTGATGTACGAAGAAGACCATCAGTTGTTTCTATAGTAAATCGAGAAACTGTGTTATCTCGGATGGACCGAATGGTGTTGTCATGACAAAAATAATCCGAATCTCTTGAAGGACTATCTAAGATGCAATCTTCATAGATTCCTGGAGATGCCATCACAGGTGACAGGTGACACACTTGGTCTTCAAAGTGGGCATCAGAGATAGTTGATGGACGGCTTGATGTGATGATGCTGCTAAGACCAACAGGATTATTGTGAGGAGTCATTGATGACACTGAATGGAGCACTGCCAATGGCAACATTGGAACAAATAATTTGTTTATCTTTGTGGTACCACTGTAGATAATAAGTGAGCCTGAAATACTGAGAATTAGCATTAGATTGAGAGACTCAATAGGAAGTGCATCCTTTGCTGAGATGGTGTTGATAGCTCCAAAGATGAGGTGTGAGCTGTCATTGCTCTCTTCAAATCGGACACACCGTAGCTGCTGCTTAAGAGAGATTAAGTAACACAAATAGTTCTGTTCACAGAGATCTTTCGTGATAAAAGCTTTGCTGGCTTTGCTGAGAATCCCATCAGATTTTGAAGGTCCCGATTCTGTCCAGATATGATCAAGACACACATCTGGATTAACTGGTTCAATGCGGTAATTCATAGTTTCAGACATAAAAGAAATGTTTTGTGAGCCTGGTGGTGATCGCATGTATGTCATGGGTGAACGTGACTGTGTATTAGGACTGTAAAATGGGCGTGCTTGGGTGGCTGAAGCAAAAGCCAAAGGAGATTGTGTACGGCTACTTGTATTGCCTGAAGATGTTAAATGGCCACTGAGAACTGGGCTAACTGAACAAGAAGTGGACCCTGGAGAAAAGGTACGGTTAGAGAAGTTATGAAGTGGTGACATGCCAGGAGATAGCCCACTCATCCGTGATTGGCTAAGAGAAGAGGTGTTCAGTTGAGGAGTGCTTGGCCGATAAAAACTGGACATATCCCAAGTTTCAAACAAGGAATTGCTCTCTTCAGCTTTAACTCGTCGGACATTCCACACTGAGTGAATGCCAAGGATGATGTCATAAATAAGCAAGATTGAAGGGTTTATGCAACTGAAGACAATGTGTTGGGAAGTGTCAGTGAAATAGCTGATTTTGTTGTGTGTGACACAGTTGGAGCTACGGGAGATGACTGGAGCAATGTCATTGAGGGGGTGCAGCATGCTGAACAGGATTGTCTGATTGGGTGCACTGCGAGAGGACTTGGGAGCAAGGGCCTCAGATGTTGATAAAGACCTTTCAAAAAGGAGCCCATTTTTGATTACCCAGGATTTGGTAACCTGGAAAGGTAAGGCTACACTATATTCTTCACCTCGGTTAGTGAATACTGAAGCCGTTGTTGACTCAAGCACACAAATTCCTTCTTGAAGATCCCCTGTTGAGAAGAATAAAGGAAATTACAAAGCTTTTTAACAATGTGTTGCAATAAATAAGAAAAAACATCCCCAACAAAATAAATAACAAAGGCCTAAAAGTGTAAATAAAATTGTGCTTCATAGCTTTTTTTGGTAAAAAAAAAACCCCAAAAAGCAAAAAAAGAAAATGTTGTAAGATTTGCATAAGATTTTTGAATAGCTACAGCTGATAATGATGACAGATATTTTAAGCTTTAAATGCAAAAAGTTTTTCTTGAAAAGGTCTTGAAGTTTGTTGACGAAGTGAGAGTAGGTATAACTTGCCACAGTGTAACAGGGTTATTAATAGGCAACAATTATCAACTGGCCCTTGCCAGACACAAAGAGAGCTAAATATTATTACTTTCTGTGAAAGTAATGAGAGAATTTTGTTTTTACTTTTTCCTATGTTAACATATCAGTTTACCCAAAACCTAAGATGTTAAAATTTGTTAACAGAGTTTGGGAAGTTCATTTTTCAATGTTTTATAAAATAAAATTGGAATGGAAATCTGTCATATTAGGAAAAACACATTTGTATTGATAGCAAGCATTCTTGGAAAGAATATTAAAGCAACAATAAAATGAAGTAAAGCTAATAATAAAATAATGAAAATGCTTCAATTAAAACAAAAATTCATGCAAATTGGGTTGTAAAACAAATATAGCCTAGAGGAATGGAGATGAGAGTGGCAAGAGACAATCAAAAACTTAATTAACCCAGAGTGTTATGATAATTTTTCTGTGCCATCTTAGCCAACAAAAAATCCTTTTGTAAAATGAAGACAGAAATACAAGTTTGATGTCTAAACTGAAATCAATATTTGTCATTTTTTTCCTGTTGAATTTTGATTGAATATATTTATACATAAATATGGGTGAAAATTTTATGCTACCAAAGATTATTTTCATGTTAGAAGGTGGGAGGAATGACGATTAAAATATTAATATGTAGAGATAAATAATATGAATATTAAAATAGATTTAATTAATATTTTCCCATTTAACGATGCAATTTGAGATGAGATGTTATGTGAAACATTCAAGAAACTTATGGCGCAAAATGTTTTCAAAGAAACAAAAAAAATTGGCTGAAAATGAGCTTCTTTATTTCTTAGTGGAGAAATGCTGGCTAACTTGAAGATGAACAGACTGATGAATTTGTTCAAATTCTTGAAAATTTTTGGTAGCAATTTTCCCACAACTTGATATTTAGACAAGTACCCACATTTATTTTGTTGGTTGTTTTGAATGATTTTTTTTTGCTGATTTTCCAACTGTCATTGTCTGAATAATTCATATGGAAATCATGTTGCAATATTCACAAATGTTCAGGTTCTAGATCATATCTTCAATGTCCAGTTTTGAAATGTTTTTTATCATTTCACGCCAAGCAAGGCAATAAAGCTACTAAGATGCAAATGGTTATGGCATATGAAAGAATATGAGAAAAAGAAAAACATTGAGGAGCGAGAACAATAAAAGAACAGGAATTAAAGAGACTGAAGATAACAAATGACATTGCATTTACATTTTTGACAGTCAATGTTGACTGGAAAGCAAGCAGCCAAAAGAAAGTGAAAAATGTGACAGAAGAACTTAGTTACATCTAGTAATTTCAACTGTAAAATTATAAAACCTAGCTGCCACATTCGTAAAGTCGAGATACTTCAGAAGAAAGTTCATTAGAACAATTACCATGAAAATAATTATAAAAAGACACACGGAAGCTACGTTATGGCAGTGGGAAAGTGACTCAAGCTGAGATGCCAAGTCAGAAGCAATAACATTGCAGATTCCTCTTTGGATATCATCAAGAATCTCTAAATAGATAGCAGAAGCACCAGACCAAATATGACAGAAATATTTAATGCATAGATGAATGGTAGACTTATAAATGTATAAGATAAATTCTGGTGAAAAAAATTGTCTATCAAGTCACAGTGAATCAATCTTCCAAGCAATTGATTCAATATAATTTTTCTACTTTATGTCAGTGGAAAATGTTAGCTTAAGAAGGCACAATGTATCACTCATCTGGGAGTTAGCATCAGCCATGCAAAAAAAGTTCTCTAAGATGATTAAAAGAGAGCAGTTTTGTTTTGGAAGTGTTAAAATTAAACCATTTCTTGCCCCAGTTAACAACAGATTGTAGGTAATTTCTGAGATCAGCTGTCAATTTGACCTCATCAAATTGATCAGACAGGAATAAATAATTGTGTTGTCAATATAGAGACTGAGTTCAGAACTGATGACATCAGGGTTGATGAAAATTAGGAACCATGCAAGTCCACAGGTTAATGTAAAATATCTAGAAGACAACTTCAAGACAACTTTTATTTTGCAATTTGATAAGATTGAATTAGATCAAAAATTAATTCAGAAATACCATAACCTTTTAACTTGTAAAGAAGACCAGCACACGAAACCCTTTCAAATACCTTTGAGATATTCAATGCAAAAACCTGAACTTCACCATTCTTATCTAAATCTTGGTGGATTTTTTTTCAGCAAACTATATTGCTTATCTGAAAGAAGGCCATGCAAGAAGAAGTGTTTAAACAATTTGGAGTTGATTAAAGCCTCTAGTACTTTGCTAAAAAGAGGTAGAAGGCTAATAAGTTGATAGAAAGATCAGATGTTTTGCCTGAGTTCTTGAGACTGGAACTACAGGAGAGGATTTCCAGAAGCAAGAAGCAGCAAGGCATTTATTGTAGTTTAGAGAGAACAACAGCACATTTCTTAAAGACTATTGCAGTGATATCATCATCCACATGCTTTGTGGAGATCCAGTTTAGAGATGATAGTAGAAATCATGGACAGAGTTATATGCATATCACACAGAGACAATTCTAAGTAGAATTGGAAGAGAATTTATCAGCAAATCATTCTGCTTTATCAGTAGATGATGACAACTCAAATTGAGTGAAGAGATGAGGGATAAAAGACTTCTTATATAACACACTGTTACAATGCCAACATTAGTTACAAGAACAAAACTTGTTAGAGGCTATACAATGTAGCAAACAAATTGTCAACAAACAAAGACTTGTCTTCTTTGAGGACATGTTTCCAATTATTACAAGTGGACACAAGGAGGCATCTGTTGTGATTGAAACTATCATGTTGGTACACCGGGAAAAAGTGATTCTCTTTTACTATAGCAGTTGAAGAGGAAGGTGTGAACCAAGAGAAGGTTGTGGTTTTACTTGGTATTTCTGAGAATGTACAAAAACATTGATGTCAGCTTTTAATCAAGAAGAAACATCAGCAGCACAATTCTCAATAGTAAGTTTAAAAATTTCACTCCAAGGAGCATCATGGAGAAAATCACAAAATGATTGTGCTGGTAATAGAAAGAAGTCTTGTGAATAGGAGATTTATGTCTAAGAGATGACACAAAAAATATAACAACAGATACTACAGTGTGATCCCAATTGACAAGAGGACATAGGATGTGATACTATGGACATTCATTAAGAAAAGGAAGATGATGTTTTATTTCAATGAAGTGTTTCTGTTATATAGCCAGCAGATGGTTCTTTTTGAAGTCTGGTCTTCTAAGTGGTATCCACCTTGACCAAGGGGGGATGGATAAGTAAAGGAGTGGATAAAGCGTTTTTGGAGACCAAGCAACAATAAACCAGATGCTGGTCTATATTAATAATCATGCTTGGGATTGGACAGTCAATTCTAGTCCACTCTTGGTGGGTGATGGACTCGTCTGTTGTGTCATTCTAATCCCAATATTGCCAGCCATATAATAGGGTTTGTAGAGGGGTGAAGGGTTGGTAGGTGGAAGAAGTAATCTATGAGATTGGCATAGAAGTTGTCCAAGTGTCACTTACTTACCCACCAATTGTGCAGGTGAAGCCCTGAATTAAACACATAATATGGGAAACAGGAGAGGAGATAAGGAACAAATCAAGTAGAGAAGAATGTTGATCAGGAAAAGAGTAGGGGAATCTACTATTTGACAGAGACTTGAACAATGGAAAAATTGTAAGTCTGGAAACATCAGGAACATTACACTGTTTTTAAGCCGCTTGACATGATAAGCATCAAAATCACCAGACACAAAGGTGTTTGCAGTTGAATGAATAGAGAGAAAGAGCCATTTCTATTCAGTAACATATTTTGTATAATATGTTAGTCCTGAGATAAGAAGGGGAACAATAAAGGAAAACAAGATAGCTAATAGAGTGCAATAAAGAAAGTTTAAAGCATATGAAAGAATCATTCAGTGATTCAAGAGATAATTCCCTTGTCATTGGATGATTTTCCTGGATGTAAACAACAAAGCCATGCATATGTATCCTAGACTCTTTTCAACAGAGTAGACATCCTGGAACAGAGAATTCATTGGTAGTGACAGAAAAATTTAAATTAGTTTCACAAAGCACTAAGATATCTGGAGGACATTTCAAGAGAAAAGATTCTACACTAGAGTAATTGGTACAAAAACCACAAATATTGGAGAAATAAAGTTTGAGGGAAGTGGGTGGTTTCTTGTTTACTCTTATTTTTTTTAATTGTAACTGTCATGAGAAGATTATTTTAATTAAGGAGAAAAAAAACAAAATAATTGTCACTGCTCATTATCTATGGTAATACAAACTGGACAAAAGGTGGCTAAGACTAAAGCATAATGGACCTCAGGGTTACCCACTGAAAGTACATGCGTGGACACCTATCCATATGTGACATGGCACTGCAATACCCTGATATTATGCAACTGTTGACTAAAGCAGCTTCTCTAAGCTCTACAAAAGAGTTTGGGCCCTTGTTATCAGTCAGAATGCAGCAACCAGAAAACTACCAAGCCAGTACCCTTAAAATGAAATGTCACAGCCACTGATCAGTCAGATCACCAAAAAAGTTAAGACAGTTATGCCATTAAGGCCATGGAAAAAGATTTGCATTTGTTCACATCTATTATGATGAAGTTGGAAAGTAAGTATTTGTACTGATAGTTAAAATTGTCTGAAGTTTCAAATTTAAATCAGGTATTATTAAAACAGTAAGTGCTATTCATTGTAAAAGTAAGGTTACCAAATGTAACATCAAATGATCACCAGGAACAATGAACATACAATTCTGAATAAAGCATCTTTTTATTTTAGTGTTTTATCGAGTGTTAGCTTACTTGTTAATGAATATTTGCATTTGTTTCTGAAAAACATTGCATACTGACCAGGGAGATCCAAGTTGGTTTGTTCGGGGAGCTCAGAAGTATTAGAATGAGAAAGTAAGAAACTGCAGCACATCGCCTGGATAACTGGAGACTCAACAGTAAATGTCTTGATGACTTGTTTAGCCTCCTGACGTGTCCCCACACTCCAGATAACAGTATTACCAGATACATACAGCTCCTCCTCTACTGCTCCACAAACATCAGTAGCTGGTCTGCAGTGTAGCGTCCACTGCTCCTTTGGGCTCTGTTCACTGATTGAAATGTCACGGAAAGATCGTAACAGGGGCAGTCCATGATCTGCATGGTGACTTCTTTGTACCTGAAGAAAGCAATTACAGAGTCAAAGTGAAGATAAGACATGGAGATTGTGTATAATTATTTAAATAAAATCAATATTACCTAATTGGAAAGGATTACTGGCATAATAAACATCAATTCTGAAAATGAGATAAATGAATTCTAAGCCGAGACTACTTGTATCACTTTCACATAAATCTCCTTGGGAAAGAAATGTCTAACTCACAAAGAATCATCTGGTTTGGGATGATAATGAGATGCTATAAATATTCTAATTAAAACTATTATATTTATTCTGAAAGTAGCAAATTTCTTGAAAGAAAAAAAAAATCTCCATAATAGTAGGGGTGAGCTATAGAGAGCAAATTTAAAAAAAAAGTGGGTAAGTGTTTTATTCTACTCATTTGTGTCCAAATAGAAGGAAATGGGCAAAATTTTTGAAAATTGGGATTTGAGCTGGACTGAAATGTGCCCAGACCTCCCCACTCCATCACTAAAAATGACAATGTATTCCAAATAACATCAATATTCACCAACAAATCTTCACCAAAATGATTCAAATGTTGAAATTCATGTTTCTACATACACAATATTGAGTCTACACATTAATTTCCAAAACAATAGGGTATTTTGAAGCTAAAATTTCAGGAAAAACAGGGATAAAATTGACTATTTTGAATTGAAATCACCAAATACTTCAACATTACATTCTATCGAGACAATATTGGGCTGGTATTCTACTGATATATCTTAAAACAATTAAATCTTACATGTCCATAACTCCTTTAAAAAAAAACTTGAAATGGCAGAATTCAAACAAAATCTGCTAAAATTGGTCTGAATTGCCGAAAATTCAGAAAATAACTGATATAATCTCCAATGAGAGAACTTAATTTTATGAGACTGTTTAAATGTATAAAACAGTCCAAATTTCTAAACAAATATCAATATGAAGCACAAGCTTATCAACACATTATCAGTATAATGATTTAAATAACTCATTGATAACATTGTTATGCAAATCAAATACTGGCGTTCTTTTTGTTAAGTCCCATGATCCAATAATGTTGCACAGGAGAATTTGAATCTTTAGCATCTTCTGTTGGACCTACTTTGGCTGGGTATCGTGACAGATTTTTTGTCTTGTCAATCGGCATGCATTCAAGGTAGTCAATCAGGTATTCATCTGTGCCAATTTGTTCTCAAGTCATACTGACACACCAGTCTCTTCCATTATCATTGTCCCAAATCATCACGCAGGGTTCATTCATAGTAATTTCATCCTCTTTATTAGGTCAAGCAGATTCATCAACATCTTCCTAAGATTTATTCAATTCATTGAACATGGTCTTCACATCTGGGAATGTGGCACCAGTATCACAATCAATTTTATGTTTACCTGACAACAGGATCCCCAAGTTTACCTTCATTTGCACTGCCACTATTATGTTGTTCACTTTGTACAAATCAGGGTATTCTCTGCAATCTTTTCTACTCATACATTTTTGGAGAAGAATTTAATTCCTCAACATCTTTTCTGCTTGTCTTTAACTACTTTCATACCTTATTCAATCTTTTTTATTGATATGAATGAGCCATTGTGAGCTTTGCATTCACATACAATAGCATTCCGATGCTCATCCTGTTGAATAAACTTTTTCCTTTTGGCAATCTTGGCCTTTGTGATTTCCTCTTGACTACTGAACCATTTTCTCCTACATCCAACAGTTTTGCTATTTTCTTAGTTTCCTTGTCAATGGAGACTAAGAAAATCTAACTGAAGCCGAGTATAGTCTCACGTCATCCCTCATGCCTTTTGTAGTAAAGTTATGATTTGAACAAGATGTTGTCTCAATTGTTACCTTGTCCATATGTGAAAGATCTCTCTCACAGATGAAGTTGTGTGAATGGAGCTTTGACGAAACTTCAAGATCAACTTTAGTCAGATCAGAACATTGTGGCTTTTCACCTTCAATGCTGAAATCAAGGTCCCGGCCATACTGTTGTTGCAAATTAATTGCTGCTTGTTTGCAAAAACAGTCCAATATATATATATATATATATATATATATATATATATATATATATAATTTTGATGTAGGTTGCTTCACATCAAATGAGTAATCAACTGTATACTTTTGTTCATATTTGAACATCTCAGGAAGCAGGAAGAGTGGTCAAGAGGGATTTTTGGTGACCCCAACTCACATGTTTAAAAATGGCATTGTGACTATGCCACATATCTTAAAGCATTTTCAATATATTCCACTTCAAGGTACAATTTACATGTCTGTATCAGTTGATTATTTGATGGTGAAACAGTATTCCTTAGATCATCAAAATAGTGAAGCAAGGCAAGATTTATGACCATCATTTTGGTGAAGATTTGTTCATGAATATTGATGTTATACATTGATAGTTTTAGTGATTTTTTGGGGGGCCCCAGGCAGGTGTCAGCACATTTTGGTCTGGCTCCATCCTAATTTTCAAAAAGTTTGCCTATTTCCTTCTATTTGAACACAAATGAGTGGAATGAAACACTTCCCCACTTGTTTTGAAAAGTGGGGTCTCATTAGCCCACCCATAATAATAGTAGTAGGATTTTATTAAATAGAGGAAGCACACATACAAATAAAACTTTAGAGCTTCTTTTTAAACTAGGGAATGAAGTTAAAATGAAAAATGATGGTTGACAGATTAAACTTAAATATTTCTATTATTTATTTCTAATTGTGAAAAAAATGGAAGAAAGAACTAATTTTGCTGTTAATTTTTGGTTAAAAATCTTGAATGAACCATAAACAACACTATTGTTTTCTGCTTATCATAAACTAAATTGAAAATACAAGGGAGAATTAAAAAATGATGAACATAAAAAATTTAGTCATGAAGCAGGTAACTGTAAAAAAAAAATGTTTTAATAAGACATTAAAAATGTTTTTGATTGTGAATAGTTGAAATGTGATAATATTCTTTATATAGAAAATAGAGTTACTTTGAATATGAAAATAAATAAGAACATTTTTGTGTAAAATTATTCAAGGTGATTTAATTTAAATGCTTAAATTATGTTTTGATTTTTTTCAAATTACAACAAAATTTAACAGATTTGTTTTTTAAATTTATTTACTAAACATTTTAATGGTGTTTTTATAAGGCTGTCAATGATAAAGGAAAAAATCAATTTGATTTTGAGGCAGTTTTTAATTTTTTTAGTGATTAAAATTATTTTCTAGGATGATGGTGAAAAAGTTAGTCTGAAGCCTTATGATGACAGCAAAAAGAGTGAGTACATTTGTAATCCACTGTCTAATTACAAGTTCAGTTTTCAAGAAATAAAAGTTTCTAAAAGTAAGTTACATATTGTGGCCAAAAATTTTGTTTTATTTTTATTATATACCATTAAGAGTTTAAACCAACTTCATCTGAAAAGACCAGTTTTGATTGTATTCTTACAGCTGCCATAACAACATGCCTCAAAATAAAAAGAATTATTGGCGGGAATGTTTTTATTCATTCACAATTTATGCTTTAGGATTACTATTTAGTTGTTTCATTTCAGGAATGGAAATGGCATTTGTCTTGTTAGCTTGGTTTGGTCAGTTCTAAGTGGAAAATATTTCTTTCAAAATTCCCTTCAATCTAGGCAACAAAGTTCCTGCAAACCATAGTTGATAAAAATTATAAGTAAACTGCATGAGAATTAGCTAAACAGTTCAATGCAAGTCACACTTTGATCATAAAACACCACTATGAACTCAAAAGTCTCTAAAACCTGGTTAATGTTTCCATCATCCATAACTCTATTTAATCAAAGAGCTGTCCTCTGCTCATCATTGAAGTGTAAACTTGGTACTAAGCCTTTCCTGGGTAGTATCATTATCAGTGATGAAAAGTGGGTTCTCTAAATATCCAATGAAGACTACAAATGGTTAGCATACATTGAAAAAGTAGAATCCATTTCCAAATCAAGATTACACCCAAAAAAGATCATGTTGTGTTTGGTGGGATATGAAGTGCTAAACCAAAAAGAACCAGTTAATGTGGAGAATTTTAGTGATCAATTGAAAGCATTGTACAACTATTTGCAGAAAAAGTGTCTCTCATTACTTAATCATAAATGTGTGTTGCTCTTACTTGATAATACTGGAACATAATTGCCAGAATTACTCAGAAAAAGATTATGGCACTGAATATAGTTTGGTTTCATCCTCCTTATTCTCCTGACCTTGCTCCATCTATCATATTTTCAGATCATTGCAAAATTCAGGGGAAATATGAAATTAGATCAACTCTTCCAATATTTAATACTCAAAACAAGTATCTGAATTATTTCCTTTTTTTACATCCATGCTTAGAATGATGTAACAGTTGCTAAAAGGAAAAATAAAATTCTTTTAAAAAATGATTCCGACTCGAAAATAATGTTAAATGTTACAAACATTTTAAAATCTTCAAACATGATTTTATTTAATAAAATAAACTCTTGTGATGAACAGCAATGGGATAAATTTAAAAATTGCACTGAAATATTACAAGTAATTTAAAAACATAAATATTAAGTTTAGATATTTTTCTTCTGTTGAATCTGAAAGAAAATAACATTTTATTAAATTATGCAAGCACCAAGTCTCAAAAAATGATTTTTTGAGATTTATTGAATTGTTTTTATATAACTGTAAAAAATTTGGATGAACCCCCACCCACTAGATTAAAAAGTACATATGTGATATCGAAAAGAGGAATGGATGAAAAACACCTCTTATAAATATTTCC